AGTTGAGTAAAAATTAAAAAGGGTGTAGGTGTGGGTGATGGTGTGTGGGTGGGTGGGGGGGGGTGGGGGTGTATGGGTGTGGATGCGGATGTGGGTGGGTAAAGGTGAATTAAAGATCTGTAGTCACACCCACACCCCCACACCCATACCCGCACCCACCCTCACCCATACTCATATCCACACACCCACACTCGCACACACTTACACCCCACACCCACACCCAAAAGTGAATAGCGATATTTCCTTCTCTCTCTTCATTCACACAAAAATGCAAAAGCAAAAAAGGTTACATTAGAATTTACAAAAATTTAACGAAAGTCAAATATATAATGGGCGTCATTATTTTGGGTTTACATTCGAGAAAATGAACGCATACATGGATATTTAAATCTTAAAATCATATACTTAGATAGTTAACAACAGTAACAAGGAATTACTAAGTACAATAAAATATAAAAATTAACTATTGGTAACAACACAAAAAATATTTTTTCAAATGATTCTTTTTAGTTTTTTAAAATTTTTATCCTTCACTATTTTTTGGCATAATAGTATACGCTGTTTGATATGGGTCCGATCACAAGAATTGCATAGAAACTGGGATGAGCTCACGAAAACTTTAACTTTGGAAGACTCCGGGTCGGATCGGATGATCAAAAACTGACCCATATCGGACACTGACAGTATATAACATTCTCTCTCTACGGCAATCATATCCAATAAGGGATGACTAACTTAAATAAATTGAAAGATTATTCAAAACGGAAAAGATAAGTATGAACATGTCTAACAATAATAATATAAATCTAAAATTCTAACAGTAAAAATATATGAAAAAGATGATTTTATTCTTAATTATAATTGATTAGACTTCTTTTGAAAGGACTCTCGTGTATTCCTTACGAAATCATTTACGGAAAGCCCTTTACCTCTTACTTTAACTTCATTTTGTGTATATCCGTATTTTGTAGGGTCCGTGTTTTTCATTCTTTTCAGAACGGCAGATTGTGCCGTTTCCATCTTATAACACCCTTGTAGATCTTCAGGTAGCATCTCATCATGCTCATAAATATCTGCTATTATTGGCACTTCAGCTGCATCAGTCGCTGCAACTCGTCGATTATCCAGTGCAGTAAGTTTACCGTCTGGCATTCTTACTACATTAATAGCACCCTTGCCTTTAAAACCACCTTTTTTTATATCTTCTGCCAATTGTTCAATGGGAGTTCCATCTCTTGTCTTAGAGCGAATACTAGTTTGCGAAAGACGAAGTTCAGAAGGATTTAGTTTTGCTCCTTTTTCCACTCCTCCCATTGTTAATGCATCTTTCTTATACTTCTCCAATCGTTTAATATCACGAGCTTGATTAGCCAGGTGTACTTTATCATTTTCCATTCGACTAGCTGTATTTACTCTTAATTGATTCGGATCTTTTCCTGTTTGTTCTGCAATAACATTAAACAAGCAATTATTCTTTCCAGTATTAGTTACTACTGGTTCAATGCCTCCTGGTAATGTCCAATGGCCTTGTGGATTGTCGACACTGGGCTTATGATACTCTACTTCTATCGGTGTACCACCTTTATCTCCACCGATAACGCGTATAACTTTTCCATTCTCATCTAGAACTTTAATTGGTCGTCCTGCTTCCTCACTTAGCGGGCCCAAATGAGGCAATCCAGCTTCACCGCCATTTTTCAAATCATCTATCATCTGATCCGCCTTTTGAACAGCCTCACGATCTTCTGCTCCTTTTTTAAATGCATCTGGTATTCTATTATGTTTGTCATTATCTTGATAGATTTCTAGTCTTCTTTCTGCCTGATAATTACCAATCTGATCTTTTATAGATTTATCTAGTCCTGCTGTTAATTTATTCATACCAAAACGGACACCTG